CAGCACGGGAGGGCTGTCGAGATGTTGGGACTGATGATGGCTACAAAGCATTGCTCTGAATGCAGAGTGCAGATTTGCCGACAGGAGGAAGAGGCAATATCTTCCCCAGAGGACCTTGGGGTGGAAGGGTGAGGAGTGTCTGGACCAGGAAGAGAACTGAAGACAGGTGCGTCTGACACGTGGGTGATGGAGGAGAGGATCAGCTGCTTCTGATCAAGCAGCTGGGTGGTGCATCATTGACTAAACCAGGCTAAAGGGGATGTTTGAGGGGGAAGAGAAAGCGATGATTGCACATGTGGGTCTGAGATGTCCGGGGGAGAGGATAGGCAGCTGGTTGGGTGGGAGCCGGGCACTCGGGAGAGAGCAGATGAAGACTTAAATGTTGGTGGGATTAATTCAGAGACTTCACCAGAAGCCCCCCCGGGTAGGATGGGATTGTCTTGGGGGGGGGGGGGGGGGCCGAGGGGGGGGTGGATTGTGAAGTGTTCAGTAGGGTAATACTGCCCCCTTGAGGCAAGTGGGGAACCCCAGTTACGATATTGGCGTAAAATGGGAAGGTGGTGGGAACCCAGATATCTGCCAAAGTCCCATCTCACAAAGAACTATTATTCTAAACCCCCATAAACTTCCAAGTGCCTAACAAACATGCCTACATGAGGAAAGTCTGTTCATGATTTGAACCTAGAACTGATACTACTTTATATATAAATTCTTTACGTTGAAAATTTCTAGAAATAGACCATGAAACTGAGGGCACATTTAACTTTTTTGTTTAGAATTTTCCCAAGACTTTCACCGTATCAGAAAATCCTTTTGCAGCAACTCTGTTGACATGCTCCAGCCACAGGGACGCATTTAAATCTTTCGATACATAGCTGGGACCAAGGATTTAATGATTATTCTGGTATCAGTTATGTTCCTATCATTTTCCTTCATATTGCGATCACAGCATAATGCTATTTTTTTTTAACTATGTGTTGGAAGGATATATTAGCTTTGTTTTCACCTAGTAAAGTACTAACTGAGCTAATGGGCTAAGAAGCATTAAGTCAAGAGTGAGTACAGATAAAGAGAAAGGTTGAGCTTTGCGTGCCTCTAGTAAGATCGGGGTCAGAGAAGAGACAGTGAAACTGAGGAGCAAGTGTCGCCAAGACAAGAGGAGAGGCGTCCGGCCAGCACGTGAAGAGTGGGGCGAAGGGGCCCCCACCCAGTGGCTGCCCCTGTTGGTGGGAGGAGCCTGACCTGCGGCAAAATGGAGGCTGTGGCCTCTGTGATAAGGGCGAGGTGGGTGGGGAGGAAGTCCCTGGAGTGAGCCAAGGGAAGACACCGAGCCTGTGAGTCTCCGTAACTCTTAGGAAACTCTCATGGGGTGAGGGTTGGGGGTGCCCTGGTGGCACAAGGGTTTAAGTTTCAGTTATTGGCAGCCACTGCAGCTCCAGGCCAGGGGGCTGACCCACATGGCGCCGCGGACCTCTCCTGTCTCTCCCACTGTTCCTCACTCTGTCTCTGGTGAGTCCTCTCAACCCCCTCTCCTGCACCTCTGGCCTGCACTTGTATACCTAAAAAAAAAAAAAAAAAAAAAAAAAAGGTGACCCTCCCTGGTGGTGCAACGGGTTAACGGGTTAGGATGCAGCACTACAAGTGAGCTGCTGCTGTTCTAGTTGAGAGTTCGATCCCCGCCCCGGAGGTGCCCACATGACGCAACAAAACCCCCCCGGACCCGCCCGCTGCTCCCCTCAGCAGTGTACGTCAATCTGCCTGTTCTGCTCCCCGCTCTGTCTCTGGTGAATCCTCTCACTGCCCCTGCACCTCTGGCCTGTACCCCACTTCTGTATGCACAAATAAATCCAAAAAAATAAAAAAAGACAACAGAAACTCTGATGCAAGGACCAAATGAATTGGAGGGCAACATGGGGTCCAGAGAGGGGTTCTGGGTCACTTGCGAGCTGATAGTGGCAAGGGCTCCTGGGAGGGGGAGGGGCCGGGGCACAGACGCAGGTGTAGGTGCAGGAGAGGGCGGTGGCCCCAGCTGGAGCAGGCACGGAGCAGGCGCAGGCAGGCGGCAGATCTGAACACGGGAAGGCACAGCAGCTCTCTCCCACCAACTGTTTCCATCGCTCAGTGAGATCAGAGCAGCCCCGCCACCAGGAAGTGTTAGGGCAACACTGGGGAGCAGAGAGGGGTGTTTGTTTTCTCCTCACGCTGTGACTGAGGAGAGTGGCCCGGAGGATGGCCGTAAGCCCCGGCCGGGCACTCAGACTGAGAGAGGGAGGTCGTGGGCTGCAGGCCAGGGCACCGAGGCCCCAAAGGCATGGGCAAGGCAGGCCAGCTGTGCAGTGGGGCACTAGACACCTGGAGCCTTGGACTCAGGACATGTGATCCCCGCCAGTGTCGTGTCCATGTTGGCTTTCTGATTTTGACATCTCACTCACTTTCTTGGGAAATGAACACGAAAGTTATCTGGTGGGAAGGTGCCAGGCTGCTCACCAAGCCCTGGCTGTCCATGAGTATGTCCAGAGAGGAGCGGGGACGATGCTTACATTCACCCTTAAACAGCGGACGGTGTGGGGAAGAGGCAAAGAAAGGGTTATGTGGTTCCTTGTTCTAGTCTTGTAACATTTCTGTGAGCTTGAAATGGCATGAAGTTACGAAAACAGTAATACGCCGCTGTAGCAGAACCAAGCTAGGATGCTGCTGGAACAAGCCCAGAGACTCAAGGCAGTCTCTCAGAAAACCTTTCCAGTGTGACCTTTTTGGAAAAGGGAGGTCACGGGAGAGATGAAGCAGGGACAGGAGGGCTGCCGCAGAGGCTAATGGCAGAAGGATGGTGCTGGGAGGAGCCGAAGAAACGTCATGCTCTGTAACAAACCACAGGATGTTTCTCTCCACTGCTTACCGTTGTGACTGATCAACATTAAAATACGTGGCTTGAAATAAAAATGATTATGGGTAAGGGTCACTATGAAGGTGGCAGAGCATAAAAACACACAACTGTCGACAGCATTTATCTCTAGATGAACTAGAGACAGTGAGGAGGAAAAACACTACTCCTGAACGTCCACCCTGACGGACTGTAACTGTCCAGGGGAGAGGCGAGGGGGGCGGGGGGGGGAGTCTCCTCTTGAGGGCAGATGGCAAAAAGGGAGGGGGGCCGGGAGGGGTGGTGGTGTAGCTCTCGGGGGTGTGAACCACGCCTGGAACTTTGAAGCGTCTTCTAAGATCACTTCCTACTCATCCTCACTCTACAGTCTGCACGTAAAATGATCAGAAATCAAAGCTGCCAAATGGTTCCAACATGAAGGAAGACCTTCTTCAAATGCAACAGGCTCTCACTCTTCCTAAATTTCAGCCCCCGCCACACCCTGGCCTGTCCTCAGAGCACTCCTCCCCTGCCAGCCTGCACAGCCGCGCAGGCCTAAAACGCCCTCCTGAGCTTCATTACCTGCCAGACACACTAGGGGACAGGCAAGGACTCGCTTACTGCACGGCGGGATGTCTCCAAAGGAGTAAAAGCAGCTTGTGGCTCACCCCTCGGCCAGCTGAGCCTTCTGAACTAACGCCCTCCATGCTCCCAGCACCACCGCCACTGCAGCAGCGAGGGGTCACAGCGGTGTGAGCAAGTTGGCCTGTGAGGTACACTTGTGCCCCCATTTCTCCTTAGACCTACAGTTCAGCCCCTGGTTAGAGTTCCCTCGTTCTCCTCTGCAGCATCAGACAAGTCCAAGAAAGCACAAATCTGACTGTACCGGGCCCTGCTCCTGCGCCATTTCATAGTGCGACAAAAGACCAGCAGACCTCCCCCAGCCTCTTTTCCCACCGAGGCGACCACTTTGCAACTCTGGGCCTTCAAGGCTGCTCTCCACTCAAGCGACACCCTTGCTCCCACATTCTGGCTGCCTCCTGATCTCGGAAACCCAGCTCTGGCTTCAGCACCTCCAGGAAATCTGCATCCCTCCCCTCCAACCAGGTGGCTCAGTCAGGCCCAAAAACCCCAAGTCCAACCCTGAAAAATACTGTTGCCTCCCAGTGCTCCCCAAGCCTGCAGTGGGGCTGCTCCCCATTTCCCAGGTCTTCTGGAAAGCCCTCCCACCAAGGGGGTCAGGGCTGCAGCATCTATGAATGGACATGTGCTGAGATGGCTGAACAGATCTCATCTTCTGAGTCCAGGGTCAGAGGGCCTCTGGAAAATGCTAGAACCAATAAAGTTGGCAGATTCACTGTGCCATTCACAGGCTGAGGAGGGGAGGACATTCCCACAACAGCCAGCCTGGGCCCCCATGTAGACCACTCTGCTCCCCACCTCCACTCAACCCCAGCTGTCTGGGACACCTGCCCTCCCCAACAGCAACTCACCTATGAAGAACCGCGGCAGCCACCTTTCTTCCAGCCCAAGCCCCACCCACTTCACCAGGCAGCGCGGGGAGACACGGTCAGGCAGAACTGGGTTTGGAGAGGCAGCCAGTCATCAACAGAAAACACGGGAGAGTGGAGGAGTCCAGATTGGGTCTTTAAGAGTGGTTAAGGTGAATGGGGGCGGGGAGCCTTGCCAGGAGTCAAACGGGCGGGCGCAGCACAAGGGATCTGCTCCCGCAAGGACGGGACAGGCCTGTCCTTCAGGACAGCCTCCTGGCCGGCAGCCCGTCAGGATGCAGGGCGGGACTGGGCGACTAACACCGACCAACAGCCGCCAGTCGGAGGTGGCCCGCACACACGCGCACGCAAGTGTGCCTCGCCAGCACCAACTCCATCGTGAACCCCAGACTGGCCCGCGAGACCCCAGAGCTGCTCTGCTCAGACTTGAGTCCCCTGTAAGTTGCCCGGGGCAGCCGGGCCCTCCTGATGAGTGCAATGGGACGCCCGCCCTGAACAACCTGCCAGTAGCCCCCAGGAAGCGATTTGGAACTTCACCCAACCCTCCCCAGCTTAAAATTACTTCCAGTGAAAACTGGCATTTATGAACAAAAGCACTGTCAGAGTAAAGCAATGAGGACAGGTGCGGGTTTGTGGAGATTTTTTTCTTTATTGAGAAACTGAAGACTTGGGTACATCAAATAAAACCAATTTCTGGGGGACAGAAACAAAACCCACAATAGAAAAAAAAAGTTAACACTAGCTGGGCCATCGAAGAACCCAGAGAATATATTCTTTTAATTGAAAAATTCTAGGTGCTTCATAATTGACCTTTTGATACAAAATGACCTATTAAATTTTAACTGTGGTTCTTGGTGTTGAGGTCCATAGAAGCTAGGAAATCTTCAAACCTCTGGGCTGAATTCCTGGAGGGCTATTTGGCTTCTGAGTCCTGGGGAAAAAGCAGCGCCATGAGAGAACTCCAGTCCCCGCGAGCCCTCGGAGCAGTCTTCCACTCAGCACACCACCACCTGCGGCGGCGTCTGCTCCTACGTCGCACAGGACCTTTGAGGGGCCCCAGGCCTCTCGCCACTACAGCCCCCAAGCCCAAAGGCTGATGTCATCACCCTGTAACAGGAGGGGGCGTGTGTCCCTCCCAAGGTGAGGCCACCACTGTGCCCCAGAAATAAGCAGCGGCTGCACACAGCTGACCTCACTGGCCTCAGGCCAAACCAGGCGGCTTTGGGAATACAGCAAAGAGGGCGTCCTGGTCACTAGGCCTCACCTACAAAGCAACTCTAGAGTCTCCCAGGCTCTCTTGATGGAGACACTTACACTCGCTCCTTGTCATTTACCACCTTTCCCCATTTCAATCCATCCAGACGACAAAAACGCAGATGGCAGCTGCCCGTGTTATCAAGGTATCGGCAGAAATCAAACCATTCCAGAGAGCATTTACAAGTCAAACCATTATGGAAAATAAAAACAGCCACACATACGTTTCTTCCTTGTCTAAGAGGTAGCAGCAGCAACCGCGCCTGCCTTCTGGGCGGCTTCTTTCTTGGCGTGGTGAGCCTGCAGAACTGCCACAGCCTCATCCACCTGGGAGAAACTTCCAGGACTCAGTGAAATAGCCCCCACCCCGCCCCGCCCTGCTGTCCAAGGCCCAGGGTGTCTTCTGGTGCTGACCACTCTCCCCAGAGCCCACGCCACAGGTGGACACGGGAGGTTGCAGACGGCAGTCCCCCAAGCAGAGCTGCGGCTGCCGGCCTGCTCACCTTGGAGCGGAGCGACTCAGGGGACTCCAGCATGTGCAGCAGCTCCGAGTTGTCGATCTCCAGCAGCATCCCCGTGATCTTTCCCGCCAGGTTCGAGTGCATTGTTTGGATGAGCGGGAACAAGCGCTCTCCTGTGGGGAGACTCCAGATTAAAATCCAGGTGGAGGGCCCCCTACTGGCACTGAGGGTTAAGCCGAAGCACTAGGAAGCATCCACAGCCACTGCAGAACGAGTTCAGTCCCCGGCCAGGAACTACCCACATGGCGCAGAAAACTTCTCCTGTCTCACCCACTGCTCCCTTCGGCCGTGTATTTCAGTAGATCCACCTGTTCTGCTCCCCACTGTCTCTGGTGAACCCTCTCACCTCTGACCTGCACCCCAAGCTCTTATATGTATAAATACAGTCGTTAAAAAATAAAATCCAGGCCCTCCCTGGTGGCGCAGTGGGTTAAAGCACAGCACTAAGTAGCTAAAGCCACTTCAGCAAGTTAGACACCCCCCAGGAGGTGACCACATGGCGCCGCAGACACCCCCTGACCCGCCCGCTGCTCCCCTCAGCAGTGTACTTCTGTCAGTCGGCCTGTTCTGCTCCCCACCCTGTCTCTGGTGAATCCTCTCACCACCCCTACACCTCTGGCCTATACACCAGTTCTGTGTGCATAAATAAATAAATCTTAAAAAAAAAAAAAAATCCAGGTGTAGTTCTAGTAATGGACAGTTCAGTCCCTGGCTCTTGTCCCTTCCTCCACAACACGGGGTCACTTACCCAGCATCTGCTTCTGTTCCTGGGGGGGTGCTGCAGCCAGCATGGAGGCGGTCAGGGGCTCCTGCCCCTGCACGTGGACAGCAGGCTGGGCTGCCTGGGAACCAGGAGAAATGCGTTAGCACCAAGCAGACACTTGACAGTGCTCAAAAGCCTGATCGCCCAACATCAGAAAGGTTAAGGGGTTGATGGAAGATCATGGGCCTGAGCGGGTGAGGGGAGCAGAAGTGGTGGCACATGAACACAGCCAATCACCGTGAAAGCAGACTGCTGCTGGACGATGACTGCAACAGGAGAAAACAGCGGGAGACGCTGAGCGGTCACCATCAGTTCAACTTACTCAAGGTCAACGATTGTAATTCACCCAAGGAGATCAAGAATTCGAAGCCTTGTTAATAAGGATCATGAACACTTTCCTGAAAATCTCTGTAGGGTGAGCTCCCAAGAGACTGGGTTCAGGGGTGACTACCCAAACCTTGGAATTCACAAGTCACCTCCACGCTGTCAGCACACAACGCCGTGCCAGTCAGTCCTAACAGCAGGGCCTCGTGGGCAAAGGACAGGACACGCAGCCTCAAGCTCTGGGAGGTGACCGACCTGAAGAGCACGGGGTTGGGGCGTGGCCGCTTGAAGTCAGCAACCAACTAGCGGTGGCTCAGCTCACCGAATGAGGGGCGCAGGTCGAGAGACAGCAAGCCCCAGCTGAACACCCTGAAGCTGGACGCCTCCTCTATGAGGTCACCCTGTGCACAACTCAGGACCAAGGATGCAGGTGGACGAGCAGTGAGACAGAGGCCCAGAGGCTGAGCCAGGACAGGAGCTACTGTCCTGGGCCACTTTGGAGTCAACCTCTATTAGAACACTTCCAAGCCCCTGGGGTCCCGAGTGTCCCTAAAGAGCAGGGTCACCACAGGACACAGCAGGCACTGAACACCTGTTCGAGGACCAGGCCTGGGTGACCTCACCTGCAGAGGCTGTATGGCAGGGTGGGGGCTGCGGACACTGGAGGTATATTTGTAAGGTGTGACAGCCCGAGGGGCGGCGGCAGCAACAGCAGCGCGAGGAGCTAAGTTCTGCACAGCTGTGGGAACACCTTAGGGGAAGAACAAATAAAATTAAATCCCATCAGTCTGGGCAAAGACCCGTCAAATCCCCTTTCCCCATTCTGTGTGCATCCAATACCACCTCCAGACTGGCAGCTGTCAGTCAGCCCTTGCTGGGCGGCACCAGCCCCACCAAAGTCCATAGCCAAGCGGTCCGGGCACTCAGACCCTACAACAGACCAGCAAATGCACATCAGTGTTGGCAGCAGATGTCCAACTGGTCACGTCCCACGGAAGAAGAAATTCCAAAGCACGGCCACACAACACACCACACACAGGGTCACGACTGCTACGTTCCAGGAAGAGCTGACGTGACATACAACTCTTCACCTCTCAGCGCACAGGACCTAGTCTGCAAAACAGTTTTCTTGCGTATCCAAACCCACCCAAAAGGTGTCTCTGCAGTCATCCGGCCAACAGACTTCTACAATTAACCTTTTCCATGTGAGTGACCCTGGACTGGGCCAGGTTTCGAGCGGCCAATGCTCCTAAGTGCATATCCTCTCTGCTCCTATGTAAGCGTACAACTGAGACTGCAGAAGCAGGGCTGGAGAACGAGCCGAACAAACTGACCAACGCTGGGCAAAGCCTAGCCAACCTGGCCCCTCCTCCCCGGGCCACGCTCCTCAAGGCCAGTTTGCTCACCGACTCTCTGAGCGGTAGTAGGGAGGCCACGAGAGGCCGGAGCATTACCAGTTGGAGCCAGATGGCGAAGAGCTGGACGAGGCCCAGACTGGCGGATAGCACTTGGCATTCCTTGGAAGCCTGGGAAAGACAAAACTGCACCTCAGAGACAACAGCGTGCTCCAGGACGCAGGCTGTGCCTCAGAGCAGAGGGACAGGCACAATGTGGTTCACCTCAGGGTCCCCCACTACCTACCTTGAGGTCTCCCACCTTGCTGCCAGCGTGGATTAGGCCTCATCTGTGCTAGCTGGTTAGGCGTGTAATACGGAGGCCTGCCCTGAGCCTGCAAGGAAGAACACCCACGTCCTTTTTCTCAAGGACATGACCCACAGGAGAGCTAGCTCCTGCCACCTGCTACCAAGCCGAGACTAACTACTTGGGAGGAGGTTGTCTACTTAAAAGCTAGGAGAGGGAGTGAGCAAGGATTCTGTCACATTACCCACACCACTGTGTCTGTGGGCAAGGGGTGTGTGAAACCACGTTAGTAAGTCCTTCCTCATTTTGCTTAAAGGATCCTAAACTCTGACGACCTGCTCCCCAGGACTGCAGAAACAGCTGTCAACGGGCAGGTTCCAAAGCACTGTGAGCTAGGGCAGACCCACCCGGGGCGCAGACCCACCTGGGGCACTGCCGGCACAAAGTAGCCGCCAGCGGCAGGCTGGAACTGGTTCAGGATGGCACTGGCAGGCAGGGCTCTCATCCCAGCCACCCGCTGCATATACTGGTTGGTCAGGTGAGCCTTTCTCTCCTCCTTCCTCTGTGCCAGGGCGACATAGAGTGGCTTGGAGCCCACAATGCGTCCATTCATCTCAGTGACTGCCTTGGTGGCCTCTTCGGGAGAGGAGAAGCAGACAAAGCCAAATCCTTTGCTCCTGCCTTCCTCAAGCATCACCTATGAAATGAGACCAGCTGCTTCAGAAAAAGATGCTTGTGTCGGGGGACAACCACAGATAGAGGAGGCACCAATGCTACAATCGGGGCTCTCACCCCTGCCCCAGGATGGGCCCAGGCCAATCAAGCCACACACCCTCTAAGGGCTCGCATTCTCTTTTTCAGTCCCGACCCTAAGTTCTCAAATATGGCATGGCGAACCATACTGGGGCTGAGGATGACACCTGGAGCCAGATGCCCTCCGAGGGTGGGACAGCAGTGTCAAGCCATCTATTTGCAAGTTGCCTGCCTGAGCACTTGGCGAACAAAACGTGAGTGAGCGTCCCGGCAAGGTCACCCTATGCTTCTGCAATATCCTGGGGCAGGGTCATTCAACCACTCACAGCTGCCACTGCTCCAATGGGAGCAGCAGCAGGAAGACGACCAGCTGGATTCCAGTGCCAGCTCCCCGCGAATTTTAGGTCATTTAACAAGCAGAGTCCCAATGTCTATGACAGACACGTAAGAGGGGAACAGCTCAAGTCATACAGCTACTGGGCCGGCTGGTCTGTTTTCAGTCAGTCCTGCACAAACGGCCTTTCCTTCCCCTCAACCACTCCCTCGGAAGCACGGCTAACCGCATGACCGTGGGTGCAGCACTGTGTGCCTTAGCTCCTGTCTAAAGTGAAGCTGTGCATCAGCCTGACCAGCTACCTAGCAGTGAGGTGGACCAGTAAGGTGTGTGGAAAGAATGAGATGCTCTCATCTTGAAAGCAGCCTGCAAAACTTCAAATTAGGTTTTTCTTTTGCTCTCTTCTTGCAAATGCCAACTTGATTCCTCTTCTGGTAAGCAAGACTCTCCTTGCACTGGATGTCAGTCAAGAGGTGATAAAAACAAAAGGTGAAGGGGGCCTACCTGGTGGCTCAGTGGTTAGTCAGGACGACCACTGCCGCAGCCTGAGTCCCATTCTCAGCCAGGGGAGCTGACCCACAAATGGCGCAGCAGATCTCTCCTGTCCTGCCGCTACTCCCCTCAGCAGTGTACTTCAGTCACTCCACCTGTTCTGTTTCCCACTGTCTCTGGTGAACCCTCTCACCACCACCCCCAACCCGTATCTCTGGCCTATACCCCTGTTCTTGAATGCATAAATAAATAAAAATCTTAAAAACAACAAAGGGCTACAGAACTGGGGAAACCACTCAGGATGGCGGCTCCTGGTCAACAACCTAACTACCGTCCTTGATGATGCTCCAGGGTGTAAGCGACTTAAGCTAAGGCCTAGGGCAGAATCACCAAGTCTCTACCAGCCCTCCAGTTCTCCCTTCTAATCCCCTGGAGGACTGCCATCTACTGCACCTCTGCCTAACACAAATAACTAGGCTCTGCGTCAGGACGTGACCCAGAACTTTTCGGAGCCAAAGTGCAGCACACTATCCTCATTCAAGCAGCATTCTCATGCTCAAGGACTCAAATTTTTTCTCTTTAAATTGGGATTCATACTTACCCTAACTTGGTTGATATAAATAACAAAGAAAATGATACACATGGCAATACTTTCTTCTTTTCCTAATTTTAAAATAAGGATGCTCTCAGCCTCAGTTCTAAAATCCTCAACACTTTTATTCAAGGAGAAATTGTGGCAGAGTTGTAGAGACAGGCCCCAAGATAAGTGGAATACAACCCGTCTGGATTTGCTCTGCTCATACTGTAGCACCATCTGTCCCCACACCAGCACGAAACAGCAAAGAATGGGAAAGATTCAGGTGCAGCCCTCCCTGGTGGCGCAGCAGGTTAAAGCGCAGCACTAAGAAGCTAAAGCCACTTCAATCCCCGCCCCAGAGGTGACCACATGGCGCGGCAGACCTCTCCTGACCCGCCCGCTGCTCCCCTCAGCAGTGTACTTCATCGATCTGCCTGTTCTGCTCCCCACTCTGTCTCTGGGGAATCCTCCCCTGCACCTCTGGCCTGTACCCAGTTCTGTATGCACAAATAAATCTTTTAAAAAAGATTCCAGTGCTCTGGGAGGTTGGCAGGGAAGGACTGGGTTGGAGTCATGTCCACACTCCAGTGCCTGGTGGGCCAAGCACTGTGAAACTAATGAAACGTCATTCTCCAAAACATGTGGCTCAGATGAGTACATGAAGACCAGGAAAGAACCTATGTTAATATGGGTGTTCCTCTGCGGAATAACACAATTTAGATCCCATTCCTCCAACAAAACAAAGGTCAACAGATGTCTAAAGGACACTGGGAATGCTCTTAGCATCAAAGCTCAGTAAGAATAAAATACCTTGGCACTAGTGATTGATCCAAAAGGTGAGAATTCTTTCCGTAACTTCTCATCATCGATAGTGTCATCCAAGTTTTTAATGTAGAGATTCACACCCTGAAGAAGAAGAGTCACTGTTACAGGTCCTGTATCCCCGAAGTCAGTTCCCAAAGTATAAGCCCACACCAGCAGGTAAAATCCCCATCTAAGGAGTCAGAATTCTGAAACCCAGCAGAATTCCATGTTTTCTCACACAAGTCCAGCAAGTGACTCTGACAGACTCAGCTAGCAGACAGCAGCCCTAGACCGGCCAATCGGCCGCGGCCACACACGGACCTCGGGCCGCACAGCCACTCCACTGACCACCGCCCCCAAGCAGGGATCTTCCCCCAGCAAGGAGGGACCACTTAAGCGGAAGGAACGCACATAACTAAGAAAAGACAGAATAAATGAATAAATTAAACCAATGGCCTTTTTTCTCTAAGCACTGCTACAATTTGGTGATTTTGCAAGAAATGGTCAGAGCAGACTCCAAGCCCCTCCAGACAGTCTGCTAGACTGTGCGAACGCTGCGCTACTATTTCACAGGAATCCCCCCCGCAGGCTGCGCCAAGATGACCTCACCTGATAACGACTAATTCGCTCTTGTTTCAGCTGTTCAAATTTCCGTTTTAATTCGGCTTGCCGTTCCACTTTCTTCTGGGCGCGGCCTACAAATATAACTTTGCCACTGATTTCTTTTCCATTCATCTCTTCCACGGCCTAGAGGAAATAAAACACATCTTTCAATGAAGAGGCAGAGGTAGGCCCCTCGCTCCAGAGGTCTGCAAGTCCCACCAAATATTCTAGGAAAAAGAAATCTTCCTTATATAGGGCTTTTAAAAACCAATTTTATTCTGTCTATAAAGCATAAGCAAATCCAAACTTCTTCAGCAGTAAAATGGGATTAATACTTAGATGGTTATTGGTCCTGATAACAGGAAAAACATTAGTACAGTTGTATAAATACAAGCATGGTAGACATGAGTGTAAGTTGATCATCTAGTTGACATTAGATGTTTAGATTCTTCTGTGGCGCTGTCAAGGATGCTAAGGGTCTAGAACATTTCAGAAGAAGCTGCTGTGGAGTTGTCCAGGTGGCCCTCTTAGGCGTTAAGAGTTGTCTCACCTATGAATGGGAACCAACACCTGCCCTATTCTCTTAAAGGATGAACAGCTGACATGACAGGCTATGTGCCAAGTGCTCTGGAAATAGTTCGATGAGATATTAACACACGAACTCCCTCAGGAAGCCAATTCCAAAGTACAGGAACTGAGCGTCACTACTGGATACAGACAACTCCGGTTCCACTCAACTACATGCTAGCAAGGCCCGGAACACACCTGGGCCACTTCCTACCAATTTCCCCACCCTCGTGGTGCTCTCACCTTATTGGCATCCTCGTGTTTTTCGTAACTCACAAAGCCAAAGCCTTTGGATTTCCCACTGGGATCTCTCATCACCTTGACACTTAGGGTCTTACCTATTACCAAAGGACAGAACTATTAGTAACACCATCTCCACACAGCGCAAGGAGAAGGCTTCCTCTAGGAACCCCCTTGAAGCAAACCTCTTTTGGAACCCAGACAGACTCTATGAGGAAGAGGCATGGGACTGGCCTTCTAATTCTGCCCCAGCTGCTGAGACAGCCTGGGGGATGGGACAAGGCGGGTGAAGCCAGGCGCCTGGAGTCTACGCCTATCTACCCTGTGACCTCTGCCATGCAAGACTTTTCCTTCTGGGCCTAGGTGCGCTCTCCCCTCAAACACAAGTAGATGAATTCCAGGTGGACTGTAAGAGGGGACACACTGGGGCAAAGTAGCCCGACGTACCGAACTGGCTGAATAGCTCTTTGAGACTCTCATCATCCACCTCTTCACCAAAGTTTTTGATATAAACATTGGTAAATTCCTTGGCTTTGGCTCCAAGCTCAGCTTCCCGTTCTTTTCGAGACTTGAATCTGCCCACAAACCTAAAAAGAAACCATGAAAAAAAGTGATCACCCAGAGAAAGAAAACATGATTTCCAGGGGCCCACAGGAATACAAGTTAAAGGCTGACAGGAGAGGTTAAAACACACAAGTCCCCATCCAACCACCAAGAGAGCAAGCTCAGAGGTACCCCCAGAAGAGAGAGAAAAGAGGCAGGACTGTCTGTCCTGCGAGGTCCAGCCCCAGGGTCCCTGGCTCAGACCAGGGCTATCCTACCACGTCACACTGCCTTCGTGAAGAAACCTGGTGACCACGTTTTAAAACGTTCATTTCTGTGCATCTATGTAAATGCATAGAAAAGGTCTGGAAGGATATAAACCAAACTGTTAACAGTGGTTAATCTTAGGAGTAAGGTTGTTGGAATGATAAAATGGCCTTTGCTTTCTCACTTTCTTCATTCTGTTGCTGTTTGCTTAATAGGAAAATGCATTCATGTTGAAACTTTTTACTTCTTTCTAGTGAGACCTTTGGGAGATCTGACCAGAGCAGTAAGTACTCTAATGCAACCCATCGCCCTTGTTCACCACCACAAACAGGCAGAATCTATTTGTCCTTAGCATAGCCAAAACTTGTTCACTCTCCTATCCTTGCACGTTAGCTAAGACCCCCTCTTGCTCCAATCTGTGATTACCACACCAAAGCCACAAGGTCTATCATGAGGAGCATCTGCTGCAATGATGTTTTTCATTGTAACCGATTAATTGTGATACCTGCCTTTTCTTTGATTAGCAGGCCACTGAGTCAAAAGGTAGCCAAGTGGAGACCTGGGGACAATTTGGCATCAACCACTAGCAAGAGACCCCACACAGGCCCAAGTCACAGGAAAGCCAAGGTCACATAGCTAGCATATAGCTCCTGGTCAGTCCAGGGCCCTCTCCACTCTGCCGCTGGCCAAGACCCTTGCTCAGAGTAGGCTTAGAGCTGCCTTCTAGCCAGCCCCAGTAGCCAATGCTCACAAAACCCATGGACAGATGCTTTTAAGGGGGAGGCGGCAGGCAGGCCATGGCTTGGGCAGGGAGCCCACCTTGGCGAGTCAAAAGGGCTGCCACGGCTCGGGCAGGGAGACTCACCAGCCCTGGAGTGGAGAGGTAGGAGCAGGCCACACTTGGGCCGAGAGAACCAGTAGCCGCCTTGTGTGCCAGTTAATACCGAGGTGGGGCCACGGCTGGCTCATGCGATGGTTGTTGCTCCGGACTGGGACACTCACACTTTGCGGTCATTGAGGAGCATGCCATTCATCTTCTCGATGGCCTTGTCGGCAGCCTCTTGGGTCTCGAAGTGGACAAAGGCATAACCCTTAGAGCCGTTCTCATCACACACCACCTGTCAAAGACAAGGCGGGCCACTTTAGAACTTGTGGCCAGCTCAAGATGCTAGAACCCCATCATCTCCAAATCAGGGTCTCCTGGGTCTGCGAGGCCTGCAGCCGACCCTGGTCAATGAGGCAGGAGGGGTCAAGACCAGCCTTGGTAATGCAGGCCATAAGCATTCTGTCTGGCAGCCCACATGCACCAAAAAGAGAAATGCCTTTTCAAAAGTTTATTCCTATTGTTTCTGGCTTGGAAAAAATCCTCCTTGTGCCAGTGACATGTCACCTCCTTCCCACATGGTGTGGCCACTGGCCATGAGCCCAGGTTACATCAGAAAAGGCGAAGTGGGCTATTCCCAGACTGCTGTCTTTCTCCCTGGGAAGACAACCCAGCAATGCTCATGTATTGTTTTTAATTCAGACTAGCTTTTATCTGTGATTCTTCCTCAAGTACAGCATATGATCATTTTGATGTTATGTATGTGGAATGTGAATAACAGAATCGGTATTCTCTGTAGCCAGCCATTTGAGGTCTTTTTAAGAACTTTCTCTTCTATGCGGCAATATACAGTGCTTTATTTTAGCAAAGCACATATAATCACTGCCATTCTCTTCATTCCCATTTGCCTCAAGACATCTGATTAGCAGGGACCCCAAGAATCCAATGACTCAACGAACATCTTTGGGTCTAGTATCTACATACAGTAACAAGTCAGGATGGTGAAGCCTGTAGTGGCAGCTGACTGCTCGCCTGTCTAGCCCAGCTCGGGGTGCTCTGTACAGTGATGTTTCCCTCAGGATCACTGCCTGTGGCAGCTGCCGGCCGTCCACCATGGGAAATGTGTATGACTCCACTCACCTCAACAGTCCACCCTGCTGGACTTTCAGAAATAGTCTGAGTGAGGGATAAAGGAGGGGAGGCAGGAAGATGCAGCAAGCAAGGCTTTTCTAACACCTGGCACAGCACTGTCACCCAGCAGTGCTCCCCGCTCCCCGAATGACCAGCAGTCACTATTACAGGCTGCCTCTACTCCAAACATTAACTGCTTCATCAAAAAAGATTTAGAGAACTGAGTGCAAAACCATGGTGCTGACCAAAAAAAAAAAAAAAAAAAAAAAAAAAAAACACCCCCTTTTTAAACCTCAACAGAATTTCATTCTCTTGTGAAGTCAAACATGTAAAGCAGTACAACCTGTACGAGAGTAGACTTGTGTTTCTAGAATGACTGAGTAAAGCTTCCTAGAGGCCAGAGGCACTGGTCTAGTCCTCCCCCAGCCCCAAGAGAAACCTTTCGATTGCCTTCCGCAGCTAGAAAACAGGAAGGATATTTCAGGCAGAGAGAAGAATAAACAAAGAGACCAAACACCTGCTAGTTATGCTGGGTTGTGGCACAAGATTATTGACAGGGAACATTTAGACTTCAGAGCCATTTCCAGCATTTTGAAAATTATCATATTCCATTTTACCAAGCCTGGGGCAATTTTCTATTTAGAATTTACCTTGTTTTCAAGATTCAGTAACTATTCTGCTGAAATAATTTAGTCAATGTTTACCTTGCAGGACAGAATGTTTCCAAAAGCAGAGAAAGTATCATAAAGTGCCTTGTTATCTATAGATTTGTCCAGGTTCTTGATGAAGACGTTTCCCACACCAGATTTTCTCAGAGAGGGATCCCTCTGCGACCACATGATACGAATTGGCTTTCCCTTAATCACATCAAAGTTCATGGTGTCCAAGGCACGCTCAGCTACAAGAGAGAAACATTTTGGTCAAGGATATACAACGTCACCTTGTTTGAAACTGTCACCAATTCCAGGAACTCCAGGACTTTTCAAGGTAATCTTGCTGATAAAAAGAAAACTATCAAAATTAAAGGGCACCAGATTCCTCTATCCCAGTGCTAGAGAGGGGAGAGTGAGTTCTAGCCAATCACTGCTTCACAGAAAATTTAACCCCTCTCGGGGTCTGCATGCCCACTGTAAGGGGGGACTTAGGTGGGAATATAAATGGCCTCATGGCACTAAGTTCACGTAATACCTCACATTTGACTAAGCTTTAGTATTTGCTAAAGCTTTTACAGCTTATTACACCCATTGACTCAGGTGGGATAGTTGAAATGCATTTTTTTTTTAAGATTTACTTATTTATGCACATAAGAACTGGGGGTACAGCCCAGAGGTGTGGGGGTCAGAGGATTCACCAGAGATGGCATGGGGAGAACAGGCAAATCGACTGAAATACACTGCTGAGAGGGGCAGCATGTGAGACAGGAGAGGTCTGCTACATCATGTGGGTCAGCTCCCTGACAGGGGATTGAACTTGTGCTGCAGTGGCTGGTGATAGCTTGACAGTGCTGAGACTTAACTCCTGTGCCATAGGGATGCCAGCCTGAAATGCATTATTTAAAAAAGGAGCAGTTATGTGCAGGGTGACTACAGGTACAGGAAACAGTAAGAAGCTAACACCAGAATTTCAATATGGTACTGCAAAGTTATCAACCAATTGCCCTTACCTACAAATTGTCTATACATGACAAAGGACAAACCTATTAAGTAAAAAAGTGTTGCTATCCCTAAATTCAGCAATTTCCTGTATTTTCGATTACTAAAAAAAATCGACTTAGACAAAAACCTCATTTATCCCAAAGATAAGATACTAATGGTCACACATGCAAATGTTCTGTCTCTATTATGATAGACAAGGATAAAATCAAACCTTTGTGCACAGAGGATAGACAGTGCAGGTGGGACCTACACCTGGGGACCCCAGGCCTTCTGAATGCTTAGTCTGAGTTCTAGGCGACTCTAGGACTTCAGGTGTCCTAATGTCACAGTGCCATGAGATGCTTCCTTAGCTTTCCAAGTAAGCCATACTAAGGGACCAAAAGCTACTACTTAGCACTGCCTGCCAGCAGCACACACTTCTCGACTGGTAGTGACAAGGACCTGGAGTTGGTGGCAATTCAGTGACGTCACCCAGAATCATCTCCACAGGGGGATGAAGAAAGAAGATTGTCCTGCCTCAAGGCCCATGTCACGCAAAAAGGGACAAATTCTACACCTCTGTCCCTCCACAAGTTCTGTTGGCAAGAGTGTGTACTCTTCTCACTCATTTCCAATCACTTTCCCATCATCCTAAGATGGGCTTGTTCCACTTGGATGGGGAAAGAAGAGACAGGGCAGATCCAAGTTGAGACACGTTCAGACACATAAGAGCTCAGTGGTGGTGGCTGTCTGGGACCCCAAACAGTGTCCATGATTAGTGAAGGTTCCCACTCCCAGCCCCCTTGTCTATTTCCAGACCAGGCTACAGAAGGCAAGTCAGCTTAGCCTGACAAATCTGGCCACACGTATTTATAGCAGGGAGAGGTCCTACAGAGGTATGTGTTGGCAGACACACAGACCAATGGCTTCAGCTACTACCTCAAAGTGACAGGATTTTTGTTCAGATGAGTCAAGAAGGTAGGCCACAGCTAATGTATCCACTCCTGCCTCTAACAAGGCTCTGCAGCTAGACAGATGCACAGACCCTTCTGTCTCAGTCCAAGTGTGGTCTCAGCTATGTTCTGGGCAAGCAACATTCTCTATGCTTCGTGGTGAAGAAAGTGGGGACAAAAATAGGGACCTGGAGATCCTCTGCCACAGAATGGCTTGCTTCTTTCTGGCAGTAATGGTCTCTACAGTTGTTCCCTTTTAATCTGGAGTCACGTGCAGCCCCTGATTAGGTTTCCGCTGGCCTTGCTCCTGCCACGCCTGTGGCATACCTCTGTGCTCCAAGCTAAGGCCCTGATCTGAGCTGGCAGGGCATTGCATGGGCAGTCCCAGCTTAGTGTCCAACTCCGCGGTTCCTTCTCCTCAGGAGTGCTGTTTTCTTCAGATGGGATGAAGGAAGGGCTCTGACAAGTGCAAAGCGCTGTCCACAGGTGAAGTGACTGACCATCCCCACCAGACTAGTGGTCCCCAGGACTACCTGGATACCCTTCTCCACCAGCCCAGGCCTCTTCCAGAGCAAGAATGCTTTCCCAAGTTCACGCAGGCTGCTCCTACGCAGCCTACCTGGCCCAAAAGATCCCTTATCAGCCACAAAATCAGACTTAGTCTGGGGTAGGAGCAGCAGCTTTGCCAGCTAAAATTTCTGCAAGAATCGTGTTTCAACCATCCTGCTTTTTTTGGCAGACCTCATGGGCAAGAGCCCATCTATGCCCACTGACCAGGCAGGACTAACCAACAGCCCGATCCCCTGGGGCAGAGGCACACTCAGAGCAATGGCAGTGACTTCCCTCTGATCCTCTTTTAGTCTCCTTGGGTTCCAACCCACAGCCACCACTGATTAGCCCAAGGTCACCCAGTTAGCAAGTGGTGAAAACAAGACTGAAACTCCAGTCATCTGATGCCAAGAACCGAGGTTTCTGCCCTTGCATCCCAGTATGGCTCGAGAGGCAACGTGCTGCCCCCCTCCATGGGGGGGGGGGCCGGCTTCGAGGGGGACTCCTAAGATTCCCCAGGGACCCCACGAGCCTGTGCACACACAGCGCGTACTCACCGTCAGCCGGCTGCTGGAAGTTGACGTAGGCATAGCCCAGGGAGCGGCGGGTGATCATATCGCGGCAGACCCGGATGGACAGCACAGGCCCCGCAGGACTGAACTTTTCATACAGCATGGCCTCGGTGACGTCCGAGTGCAGGTCACCCACGTACAAGGAGGCCATGGGGTAGCTGCTGGCCGCAGCGTTCATCTCCCCAGCCCCCACCACCCCGAGGCCCGCCAGGAGGACTTCTTATCGGGCCCACACAGGACAAAACGAGCTCTTCTCGGGCCGGGCCGCGCCGCGCCGCGGCTCACAGGTGGCAGAGGGCAGCGCAGCGAGGCTGGCGCGGGGACAGGACGGAGAGAGGCGCGGGGGTCGCGACGCTCGTCGGAGCCTGCGAACCCGCAGACAAAAGGCCCTCAAAAACAATATGGCCCTCCCCGGGAGTTTGTCTTTTCCAGCTGTCCGGGTTTGAAGCTCCAAACGTCAGGGGCGGGGGCAAAATATTAAAATGGGGACTCCCCACCAGATTTCCACGAATCCTTCCAGCGACACCCCAACGGTGCCCACGGCGGCCTCCGGACCGGCGTTTCTCTATAAATATAGGCCTCGGGCTCCTGGCGGTTTAAGATTACAGCAGCCAGGGGAAGAGGGAAACAAAATATTTGTCGGTGCCGACTCGGCCAGCCCCGGCGGCAGGGCGCGCGGCCGCCTCCCACGCCGGGCCGGC